TGGCCGCATTTTCTGCTTCTCCTGCTTCTTTCATTTCAGTTTCTACTCTGGAGAAGGAAGGGAATGAATGAGCAAGTGAGTAAGTAAGTAATGGTGGTGAGGAGGAACGGGAGGAGGGAGGACCTGTTTTAGGCAAGTTTGTCCCATCACATTCTTGTTCTACATGCTCTGACAGGCAGTATTGTCAAACAATTATATGCACAGGCTATGGAGCTGGCTATAGGTGTGACCTTGGACAAGGTGAATCATTTTTGTCTTTATCTGCAATATGAGGGTGATTGGATGCAGGGTTGATGTTTTTGGTATCAAAATAACATTTTATATGTTTTTTATGTTACATGTCTTTTTTTTTTTTTTTGCTAAATCTTTCAACTATCACTGAAGTTATGGGGAAAAAGTAAAATAATGCATGTAAAGCATATATCATTGTCTGGCATTGTGATATATGGTTTACATGCATTATTTTAAGAGGTTGCTAATATTATTATTGTTGTTATTGTTATTATTAGGTGGAACAGGAGTTGACTGAAATGGTAGAAAGATTTATAACCCTTAGTGCCAATACTCCCAGTCCTTCCCCCATTTCAATTTGTCCCCTGGCTTCTCCAGAGGGGCTTATGGCCTCCAGACACAGGTACTTTTCTCTCAACCTCTGGGGAATAGGAGGGAAACATGTAAGAAGAGAGAGAAAGCCTGTAACCTCCCCTCTCTCTTTTGTTCTGATTTCCAAGGGTCTCCTGGTATGTAAGTCATTTAATAAGCATTTATTGGGTGGCATAGTGCCTAAGGCATTTGACTGCTAACCAGAAGGCTGGAGGTTCAAACCCACCAGCCACTCCTCAGAATGAAGGTTGGGCAATCTACTTCCATAGTGATACTGCTTTGGAAACCCAAGGAGGGGTCACTATGAGTCAGATATAATCAACAGCAGTGAGATTGGTTTTTTTACTATGTGCCCCACAAAAGGAGCTCTGGTGGTGTAGTGGTTAAGGCATTTTGCTGCTAACCAAAAGGTCAGTGGTTTGAACCCATCAGCTGCTCCACAGAAGAAAGATGAGGCAATCAGCTTCAATAAAGATTTATAGCCTTGAAAACCCATGGGGGGTTGCTGTAAGTCAAAATCAACTTGATGGCAGTGACACTATGTGCCAGGCTCTGCATTAAGCGATGAGGTTACATTGGAAAACACAATAAAGTCATGCACAAGGGACCCAAGTTGCTTAGAATTTCCAAGTTAGCTTGGGTTTGCCTTCAGCTAAGCTCTGTCTTAGGAGCTGACTAGCTGGTAGCAATGAGTCCTGAGTCTTAATGTCAATTCTACCTCAAAGTACCACTGTGACCATAGGCATGTCTCCTTCCTACTGCAAACCATTCCCCATGTCTTCTCTCTGGTGCAAGGCAGGTAAATGGGCTTCAGTCTTTGCAGCTAAAGATGTCTCTAAATTGCCTGAGGCCACTTACCTGCTTTGTTGCCTTTGTTGTTGTTGTTGTTATGTGCCGTCGAGTCTCCCCGACTCATAGCGACCCCTCCTTGGGTTTCCGAGGCAGTATCACTACGGAAGTAGGATTGCCCAACCTTCCTTGCCTAGTGACCAAAATTCAGTCCAGCTTTAAGGAGTGAATACTAAGTATTGGTCTAGTGCTCTTGGACTTTTTTTCCGTGGAAAAAGAAAACATTTGAAGGACTTTATGTCAAGAAGAGACCCAGTCAGAATTTTTATTTTAGAAAAAGCCCTTTGAAGTTCAGTGCAGAAAACGGGCTGGGTGAGGGTCCAGCTGGAGGACTGAGAAGAACCACAGGTGAAATAGAGGTGCTAAGGGCTTAGATTGATCAGTGGCAGTAGGATTGGGGATGGAGAGATGAGTATGAGTATGAGTATAAGGGTACATTTTAGAGATGGAAGCAATGAAACCTGAGGACAGATAGGATATAAGGGGATAGGAACAGGAGCTGAGGGGTTTTCCTATGACCGAATTCATCTTAGAGATACCATCAATTTCAATGAGTATATATCTTTATGTACGCATATTTGTATTCATAAAAATACAAAAATCAGTCCCATCAGCTTGACTCCAACTCATGGCAACCCTATGTGTGTAAAAGTAGAATGATCCTCCATAGTGTCTTCAGTGGCTGATTTTTCAGAAGTGGATCTTTCTAGTCTTTCTTCTGAGCTCTTCTGGATATACTTAAACCTCCAACCTTTTGGCTAGTAGCCGAGCACATTAACTGTTTGCAGCACACACAGGCTCCATATAAACATATAATTAAATTAACTTCACCTTGGTGATTTGCCTTTCCTCGCCTAAAAATCAAGGACAGAGAACATTTCAGTAAACTGAAAATTCAGATTGGTTGAGTACTGGTTAGCTATGGTTTTGCTGCACATAAAAAAACCAAAACTAAACACTGCCATCAAGTAGATTCTGACTCATAACGACCCCCTTTGGGTTTCCAAGATGGTAAATCTTTATGGAAGTAGATTGTCCAGTCTTCCTTCTGTGGAGTAGCTGGTGGGTTTGAACTGCCAACCTTCTGGTTAGCAGTCAAGTGCCTTAGGTACTACACCACCAGAGCTTGAGTGATATTCAGTTTTTCCTATAAATTCCCTCTCTGACCCTTAGTTTCCCCATCTGTGAGATGGAGATAATGGTCCCTGTCCTATCCTTCTCAGAGAGTCATCATAAGGCTCAGAGAGAGAATGAGTATCAAAAGTGTTTTGTAAGGTACAGTCCCAAAGCTAAATTCAAGTGGAGATGCAGAGACCAGGCTCACCAAGGTAGGTAATGTGTTGCCTTCTTTCTCCCTCACATGGGGTTTCTGGTTCCTATGTCTGAGAATTGGGCAATTTTTTCCCAAGCATTTTGTAGAGTATTTTGGTGTGCCCTCAGGAGAGATGGGGGAGGGAAAGATAATGAGAGACTCGGGTTGAGGAAGGCTGAGTTTCTGAGCCAAAGTCCTGGTTGTGAAACAACATCTGTGCACACACTTCATTGTTCCAGTTGTCCTCAGCTTACCCTCCCATTTCATCTAAGTTAAACACTCTTTAATATAAAGCTCTTAAAAAGCAAGCCCAATTAATTATTGGCTATGTGTAAAAAATAAAAAGTTAGAAGTGGCACCTTATTTTCCCATTCTTGGCTCCAAGGTAGAACATTCTCACAACTTTAGGCTGCTTCTTCTTTGGAAGGATGGCTAGCAAGGTAAGAATCTATATCCATATTTTGTAGGTGAAGAAACAGAGGCCTAGAGAAGTGAGCTAACAGCCCAAGGTCGTGTAGCTAGTCCTTAAAGTCAGAGCAAGGAGTAGAAGAGAAACAGCTGTCTTTAAACCCCATGTCCTTTCCGTTCTGGCACGTGGCTCCCTTCCTGCAAGACTACCTGGCCCAAATACCATTATCCATTAAACTGATGAAGAAACTGAGGCCAGCCTTCTTGTTGTTATGTGCCTTCAAGTCGGCCCCGACTCATAGTGACCCCTCCTTGGGTTTCTGAGGCAGTATCACTACGGAAGTAGGATTGCCCAACCTTCCTTCCGAGGAGTGGCTGGTGGGTTTGAACCACCAGCCGTCTGGTTAGCAGGCAAGTGTCTTAGCCACTATGCTACCAAAGCTCCCGAGGCCAGCCTAGGGACACAAAATGACTCACAGGGGTCTTTTGGTGAAAGGTAGGGACAATTATCTGTCAGCCACCTGACAGCTCTCTAATAGTGTCTGTGAAAGTTCTGGCAAAGTGCAGGACTTATAGGAAGTTCACATGGTGTGCAGTCCACTGGGCCAAAGTCAGAAACCATCTAATGTTTTAAATGTAGACACAGGTAAAGGCACGTCCAGGGTTATCCAAAGGAGAACAAGGAGAATGGAAAACAAGTAGTTTGTGGTCAGATAAATTGGTACTAGTGGAAGAGTAATAATGACAGTATCAAGATTATTCCCATTCCCCAAGTGCTGACAATATACTGTGCAACATGACATCTCTTTAATGAGAGTGTTCTTTTCCTGTTATCCCCAAGGAAATGAAGTTCAGGGAAGTTGAGAAAGAACTAAGAATCAGAGCAAATTAAAAGACAGAGTAAATGGAATACTGGCTTTAGTGGGGAGAAGCAACAGAGAGTAGACTTCTGGGGGAGTGAAAATTGATTGTGAACATCAAGTATGATAGAATAACTTTTCAGGATGTTTGCTTGCATAGTCTGAACCTGAATCCTAGTTTTGTGAATGGAGAACCACCCAGAAATGCGACACTCATTAAGCATCTACCACATGTTAAGCCTTCTGCCCAATGTTTTTTTATGCCAAAATACCACTCAGTCTTTGAAGCAAGCCTATAAGAAAGAGACATTTATTCTTATTTCATATAAAGGAAGCAGGCTCAAAGGGATGGGTTAAGGGTAAAGGATTTGCTCAAGACCATTGACTCAGCAAATTATAGAGTCAGAATTTATAACTTAGTGCTCCTTCTTCAATGGGCTGGGTGGGTAATCAGAGAGCTGTCCTGGCCTGAGGTCAGACAAGGGTAATATTTAAGTGGAAAAATTAAATTGATGTCTTCAACAGAACCAAGTGGGTTCTTTTCTTGTGTCTGACCCTGAAATTTCCAACTTTCACAGAGTGTGTACAGAGATATTTCTTTCTAAACACTTGGATGCATGAAAAAATAAAGTTAAATACCTTATCAAGGAGAAGGGGATGTAGTTAGAGATCAACTAGCCAAATGATTTTATTTGAAAGCTGAAGAAATAGGCTGAGATGGGGAATTATTGATTAAGAACCTAGACTAGATGTGGAAGCCGTTTACTCTTCACAAATAGCCTAAGGATTGTGGCAACACACAAAGGCATGCAAAATAGGTTGTCTTGATTGGGAGGATCATGATGTTTTATCCTAACTGGACAATGAACACTGCCTTAGTTCTATCAGTAACTCAAGTTCTGGCACATGGCTTGGGGAGTTCCCACTCTGAATTTGTGCCTCTCTTTTTCATCAAGAGATGGAACACAATGCAAGAGCCTAACCAGTCTTCTGTGACCGAATTCATCCTTCTGGGCTTCTCCCTCAGCCCCAGGACCACTCCTCTGCTTTTCTCTGCTTTCTTGATCACCTACCTGTTGATTATCCTAGGCAATGGCTTCATCACCCTCCTCATCTGCCTGGACTCGCACCTCCACACACCCATGTACTTCTTTATTGGCATGCTTTCTATGTTGGATCTAGGATACACAACTACAACTCTTCCCCAGATGTTGGCACATCTGGCTAGCCAGGAGAAGAACATCTCTTTTGCCAGTTGTGTGGCCCAAATGTATATTTTCTTGGTGCTAGGAATCACAGAGTCCTGGCTCTTTGCCATCATGTCCATAGACAGGTATGTAGCCATCTGCCATCCACTCAGGTATAAGGTTGTCATGACTCCATGGGTATGTGGGATAATGGTCATCTTCTGTGGACTCTGGGGTGTCATATCTGCTCTTGTCTACACTGTCTTTGCCATGTGTCTGCCCTACTGTGGCCCCAACAAGATCAACCACTTCTTCTGTGAAGTCCCTGCAGTCTTGAAGCTGGCCTGTGCAGACACCTCAGTAAATGACTGGGTTGACTTCATTCTTGGATTTAGTGTCATCCTGGTCCCACTCTCCCTCATCCTCATCATCTACATCAATATCTTCATTGCCATCTTAAGGATTCATTCAGCCCAGGGGAGGGTCAAGGCCTTCTCTACCTGTGCCTCTCATATTACTGTGGTCACCATGTTCTGTGTGCCAGCCATGCTCATGTATATGAGGCCTGGATCTATGGTCTCCCCAGAAGAGGACAAAAAGCTGGCTCTATTCTATAATGTCATCTCTGCCTTTCTCAACCCGATCATCTACAGCCTTCGGAACAAGGATGTAAAGAGGGCTTTCCTCAAGATAACAGGCTGGGGCAGGACTTCAGAATGAGCCCCTGCAACAACAGCTGAGGGACGGAGGAATGCACAGGAATCCATAATGCACAGTCAATGCCCTAAACATTTATTCTTATGACCCAGTAGCACCAGTACATACTCCTCCAAATCTCAACTCCATATAGGCCCTTGGGGAAAAGCCCACCATTTGAATGCTGTTGTTTTTGTTAGATGTTGTCAAGTCATCTCTGACTCATAGTGACCTATGTACAACAGAACAAAACATTGTCCTGTCCTGTGCCAGCCTCACAATCCTTGCCATACATAAGCCCATTGTTGCAGCCACTGTGCTAATCCATCTTGTTGAGGGCTTTCCCCTTCTTTGCTGACCTTTCACCTCACCAAGCATGGTATCCTTCTCCAGAGAATGGTCCCTTCTGACAAAATGACCAAAGTAGGTGAGACGAACTCTGGCCATTCTTGCTTCCAAGGAGCATTCCAACTGTCCTTCTTCCAGGACAGATATGTTAGTTCTTTTGTCAGTCCATGATACTTTCAATAGTCTTTGCCAAAATCACAACTCAAAAGCATGAACTCTTCTTTGGTCTTCCTTATTCATTGTCCAGCTCTCACATGTATATGAGGCAATTGAAAATACCATGGCTTGGGTTAGGTGCATTTTAATCTTCAAGGAGACATCTTTGCTCTTCAGCACCTGAAAGAAGTCTTTTGCAACAGATTTGCCCAGTGCAATACGTCATCTGATGTCATGACTGCTGCTTCCATTGGCATTGATTGTAGAACCAAGTAATATGAAGTCTTTGACAACTTCAGTCTTTTCTCCATTTATCATGATGCTGCTTATTGGCCCAGTTGGATTTTTGTTTTCTTTATATTGAGGTGTAATCCATACTGCAGGAGTTCTGGTAGCATAGTGCCTAAGGCATTTGACTGCTAACCAGAAGTCTGGCAGTTCAAACCCACCAGCCACTACTCAGAAGGAAGATGGGGCAATCTACTCTCGTAGTAATACTACCTCAGAAACCCAAGGAGGGGTCGCTATGTGTTGGGTCCGACTTGATGGCACATAACAACAACAACAAATCCATACTGCAGAGTGTAGCCTTTAATCTTCATCAGTAAGTGCTTTAAGTCATCAACACTTTCAGCAAGCAATGTTGTGTCATCTGTGTATCACAGGTTGTTAATAATTCTTCCTCCTATCCTGATGCCATGTTCTTCTTCATATACTACAGATTCTCGGATTATTTGCTCAGCATACAGATTGAATAAGTATGGTGAAAGGATACAATCCTGATGCACTCCCTTCCTGATTTTAAACTGTGCAGTATCCCTTTGTTCTGTTTGAACAACACTCTCTTGGTTTACGTACAGGTTCCTTATGAGTACAATTAAGTATTCTGGAATTCCCGTTCTTGTCAATGTTATCCATAATTTGTTATGATCCAAATAATCGAGTGCTCTTACATAATCAATAAAACACAAGTGAACATATTTCTGATATTCTTTGCTTTCAGCCAAGATTCGTCTGACATCAGCAGTGATATCCCTTATTCTACATCCTCTTCTGAATCCAGCTTGCATTTTTGGAAGTTCTCTGTCAATATACTGCTGCAACTTTTTTTGAATATTTGACTGCTAACCAGGGGCAATCTACTTCC